CTATGTTGGTTCTAGTACTTGTAATTTCCTGCTTTGCTCTATAATTAAGGGGTGCACAAAGTCAAAACTATTTTTATAAAAATACCAAGTCATTGCCTGCCTTTTTCTCTGTGCTGACATTTTCACTGATGGCACAAAAGCAATGGTGAGTAAAATTCTTGGCACCTTAGTACAAGTCATGACACCAAACTGTGCTATTAGTCATTGTATTCACTGCCCTGAATGTGCAGTAAAAAAATAAATAAAATAAAAATGTCAATTTCACTTAATGTTTTTGATGAAGCTATAGAAGTGATTAATTGTATTAAATCTTAATCTTGAGTACAAGTCTTTTTGGTGTTCTTTGTGCCATAATGGGGATTGTACACGATGCCCCTCTGCTGCATACTGAAGGGTAAATAAGGGAAAACTTTTGTAAAACTGAGTTGAAAGTTGAACTAGCCACTGTTTTTATGGAACACCATTTTTACTTGAAAGAATGGCTTACAAATATTACAGTTATTATAATTTGGATATTTGGCAGACATTTTCTGGAAAATGAATGAAGCGAGCCTGTGACCTCAAGGAAAACAACTGGCAGAATTTGTTGCCAGTGTAAAACTTCAAGCTTTCAAATGAAAATTAGAATTTTGTAAAACTTATTTTTGCCACGGTAAGCTTGATAAGTTCTAAGTATTTAAAAGACTGTCCCGGTCAGATTGGAGGTGATATTACCAAATGTCATTTTTTGATATTGTGTAGTGAAATGTTTCAACATTTGGAATATCTGTATTGTCAACCATTATTTTTCAGGTGATCAATGCATGATGTTACAAAATTATACATCAGTAAGGGCCGGCCTGTGGCTTACTTGGGAGAGAGTGGTGCTGATAACACCAAGGCCACGAGTTCATATCCCTGTATAGGGGTGGTCGGTTTGCTCACTTGGGAGAGCATGGTGCTGACAACACCAAGACAAGAGTTAAGAACCCCTTACTGGTCATCCTTAAAAACAAACAAACAAAAAAATCATGCATCAATAAAAGAGCCATTCAAAGTGCAAGAGACACCAGTGTATTTCAGTGTAACACAGTACAAACAGCTTATTTATATGATTTTAGATTTCATATTACATCTAACTTTTAAGAAAGGACCACTTACTAGATTTTGGTGGAGTATCAAAAATCCCTCCAACTACCTGAAAATGTTGTTATAAATACTCTTCCTTTTTTCAACTGTGAATCTATGTGAAGCTGGATTTTCTGCATATACCTCATACCAAAATAACATTTTACACCTGATTAAATGCAGAAGCAGTTATGAAAATCCAGCTGTCTTCTATTAAGCCAGACATTAAAGAAATTTAATTTATTTTCATTTTTAATTAAAGAATTTAAAATAGTTGCACTCTTGTTACTCTTTTGTTTTGGAAAATGCAGTTAATTTTTTCACTAAAAAATTATATTAACACCTAATGGGCTTATTGTAATTTTAAAAGTAATAAATAAAATTTTAAAAATTAAAAAATTTAATTTCAAATATGTTAAATATCAATAGGTAGATCCATACAAAAGGATTTGGGATCTTCATTAATTCTTAAGAGTATAAAGGGATCTTAGATGAAAAAGTTTGAAAATTTGGTATAGTAAAAGAAATATGGATTTTGGAGTCATGACTTGCCCAGTTTCTAGATATTAATTTTGGAAAAAAACTATTATTAGGTATATTTTTCTTACCTGTGATATAGAAATGATATTTGTCCCACCAGCTTATTGAGTAAATTAAAAGAGATGGGTACATGAAGTATACATCATAATGCCTAGCACATTTAATAGATGCCTGTTGAATGCCAGCTGTTTAATTGATTATTTGCCTATTTTAAAATGATGTAATGTTACTGGAATGTTATTCACTCATTTGACAAAACAGAATTCAATTTTGTTTACTCATATAGAATCAAGGCTTACAATTTCACATTTTAAAACTGCATTGTGAAAAGTTGATAGGGAAGGTTATTTTACGTTTTTAGTATTTGTGTAATAAGTTAGCATAAGCAGCAGGTTGAAGACATAGAAATATCTTTTCTACTATTAGGACAAAAATAGATATTCTGAAATTTATGTTTGATTTTTCTCTCTCTTTTTTTTTTTTTTTTATCTCCAGCCTGGACTTCTCCTTTGAATTCCGTATTCTGTATTCATCTTCACTTTGCAATCTCAGATATTTCAGAATTAACTTGACCACGATTGAGTAATCATTTTCTACCTCCTTCTCTTCCACCTTGACACAGTCTTAAATTACATCGTTAAATATCCACTTGTTCAAAAGCCTCAATTATTGGGATCATTCTTTGTCTCACCCCTCCTCCCTATACACATCTAATTAACAAATTTATTTTCTGTTATTTTTGTTTGTTTGGCAGCTGGCCTGTAAGGGGATATGAACCCAAACTGAGCTAACTGACCAGCCCTAACAAGTTATTTTGAATCAATCTACTTCTGTGTCTACTGCCACTACTTTGGGACCAAGCAATTTTTATTATCTTTTTCCTGACTCAGTGGTCTCCTTAATGTTCCCCCTCCAGTCCATTCTCTGTATCCTAACAAGAGTGATCTTAAAATGTAATTGTATCATGCAACTTCTCTGCTGAGGATCCTTGAATGCCTTCCTTACTTAAAAGTAAGTTCATATTTCTTATTAGAGTTATAGAGCCCTGCATGATCTGGACCTTGCCTACTTTTCCAATTTAATATTGTACAGATCTCTCCATTTTTCCGTGTTCTGACCATACTTTTCTTTCAGTTCCTTAAGTATGCCAGGTTATACAGGGGTAGAACCATGTTCCTGGCTGGTACAGGGATAGAACCATGTTCCTTGGTGTTACCAGCACCACAGTCTAACCAAGTAAGCTAAATGGCCAGCCCAGCAATGCTTTTCCTTTCATTCTTTGATTTTTGTTTATCTTTTAGATCCCATTTTAAACATTTTCTCTTAGAAAGATTTTCCGATCAAAAAGTTTGTCTCCCTTTATCATTTCAATCTTAATCTTTTGTTGGTTTTCTTAACCACACTCTGTTTT